GCTTGCATGCATATAACATGCTTTTGAGAATACATTTTAATACATTCTACTAGCTCCTTTTAAATATTAAATTAACATACACTTCTTTAAATTGAAAGTAATAAATTTTTGTTTTGTTTTACTTTAATCAAATATGTATGTAGGGCAGTTTGTTATTTTTGAATGTCATTTACTTTATATTGATGGACATCCATATATTGGAAATGGGGGCGGTTGTTATCTGTGAGATGCATCTATGTCAGGGAAGCACTTTCTGATTTTGCTGAGAAAATGGTATTCTTGCCAACCACATGCACACCTGCCAAACAATTTGGGACACATTGCCTGTGCTAAGATTTCATACTAAATTGGGATTTGATTAAATTCACATAATATACTAAACTATAAATCATTTTTACAAGCTATATTGACTAAATTCACACAACAAATTAAGGCAAAAGCAGTATGAACCAACCGTTTTTTATTTTTATCTCTTCAAATCAGTTGGAGAGGTCCTGATCATGATCCCAAAAGTGGTTTTGGCTAATAGTATGGAACCAAGGTTAGTGAATTTTCAGTAGTGGTGCCACAATTTGGGAATCCTTTCCAAAGAAAAGTGCTACTAATTTCCACACTGATTTTAAATAACAACTAAACACAAAGAGTACTTGTTTACCTGGGTGACTTTTAAATTAATTTTCTTTTATTATTGTATGGTTCAATGTTGCATAATTCTTGCTTCTATACTTTTCTTTAAATGTTATAAAACATTTAATTTATGGTAGAGAACTTTTGTGCTGATCTCTAAGCTGCATTAAAAGGAAAACTTATATGCCAATGAAATTAGTAACAAATAATAAAACTAAGCAAATCACAGTAGCACATTATGCAATCCCTATTACTGAAATAGCATATGACCACATAAGTACAAACACCCCAAAGCTTCTCTGATCATGACTAATAAAAATTAGAATACTTGAAATCACAAATAAATTTTTCCCCTCCCTCCCTCCAATGCTAATGTATAATTAATGAGACAAACTTTGTCACTGGGCTGTATAGTCCAGGCATATACCAGGATTGATTCTATTGGTAGTCAACATCAATAAACCTGACCTGAAAACAGATAGCTATTTCACTATATCCAGAAATGCATGAAAGCCCCATTTGCAAATCATCCTAGATTCACCGCCAAGAATCTATAGTAGCAAAATCTATATTATATGCACAATAACTTAAAAAGCCAAGAAACCCCTTGGTATAATAACAAGAAATATTAAGTAAAAATAGTTGTAAGTATCCCCTCAGAAATAATATAAAAATGGAACAGTTGTCCAGTCCTCAAAAATTAAACATACCCTTTTAGCCCGTCTGCTAGAAGTAAAATAATTTTTAGAACTGGAATTAGACTGAATTTGAATAGAACTAATTCAATCAAAATTTACCATCAAATCTTTAAATAGCCTATGCATTTTTGTTTTCATTTAATATAGTTTCAGCTGTTTCATTTAGCACTATTAGAAATAACCATTGAACTTTTGAAATAACTTTTGAAACTGTTGGAATAATTGAAAGGTTAGACTTTCCAAACTTTAAGAAACAAAGGCATGGATTTTAGTTTGGGGAATTTAAGAAAATATTCTTTCATGACCTTTTTTCTGTATATGTTTTCTCCTGTTTACACAATCAGTTTTAGCCAATGTATATTTCATATAATTCAACTAGTAGCGCATCTCCACTAATCAGGAAGGCTCTTCAGCTTGTAACTGATCCTGAAGATGCGATAATATATTAGATATAAGATATAAATTCTGGAAATGGAAACTTGGATTCATGTTTGACTTTAGCCACAGATTTATTTGTTTTTGTAAAATTAGACAAAATACAGTATGTTGCAATTTTTTTCCTTACCTCATCGTAGCAGTTTCTGATTTCTAAGAATTCTTTATTGGATTACTGAAATGGCTCTAGGATACTGGCATGTAACCCCTTGTGTTACATAGACTCAGCGTTAATTCCCCGAGCCAAAAAACAAGCAGAGAAATAGCTATGTTGGTCTGTTGTATTTACATGGTTTAACTCATGGGTTACCTGCTTAATTCACTATTCAAGTTTCACATACCTCACTGAATCATAAACTGACCACCGGGGCTGTTTACAAAACATGCTAAAACATACTTATCTAGCTTGTCATTGCAGACATGCACACTGTACTGCTATCCTACTACAGGAGCCTTAGGAAGAAGCGTATTTTGAAAAATAGTTTTGGAGAAACAGTGGAAGGTGGTGAAACATCTCCCTCCACTGGACCAGGTCACCAGGCTTTTAAGAAAAATATATCCTACATATTACCTAGATTTTGATCTATAGTTTCTATTCCCAATATTGTCTGTGGGAATATCAGTATATTCTATGGGAGAATCCCTACAAAATACGATGTATTGAGTATGTCAGTGAAGTAAGCACACTTCTATACGGTAAAAACAATAGGAGCATTCAAGAATACTAGTCAATTAAATTACCAAGCTGGTTTGTATCACCCAAAGTCGATTGAATGACAGTATAGTTGCCATTACTTAACTTATTTTCACTTTCATTTATACCATACTTTCATTTGCCAAGGTTTAGCATGATTACTGTAGACTGTGCAGCTGTAGGAAGCTAAATATGAACATATGTCTCATTTTAAAATATCTGAGGGGGGGAAAAAACCCTCTTGGTATAATTTGTCAAGTTTCTGCCCACCTTAGAACACATTTAATTTTCTATACTATCTCCATCAAATCTTACTGGGTCAGATATTTTAAGGAAAGGATGGTCCTTCCCTTCCTTCCTTCCTTCCTTTTTAGTAATTGGTTTTGTTGTCAAGAACCAGACAGCACTTCAGATTCAATTCCAAAAAGGTGTTATAGAATTCATGAGGATGAGTAGTGTTTCAGCGTGCAACTTTTAAAGTAGCGACTCTTTTCCTGGAATCCATGTCAAAATTCAAGTCAACCCTACATAACACAAATATTAAAGAATAACATTGGAGCAGAATTTTTAATTAACCTACCTGTCTATAAAACAAGAGGCTCTTAAAGCAGAACTGCCTGCTTTATCTCCTGCTACTATAAAAGTAATGAGAGTCAGTGTTTGGATATCATTTGTGTTTGAGTATCATTGAATATCATGCTGGAGAAATAGTGTTCTTTTAAAAATTTCCCTGCCTCTAGGTCCTCTGAAAATGCTCTTCACTTTGTTTCTAAAAGCAAACATACCCCATAATTGGCATTACTAGAAGAAAGGATATGCCTTATCTGATAGCCATGCAGATATATCCTGTAACAATACCCTGTTTCACAACTTCAGAGTTCTACAATAAAAAACACTAGAGTTACACAATAAAACCATGAAATCTGCTCACAGTGTAGAAAGGTTTCACGGTGATAATATTATGAGGTTTCTCTTCCCAGATATGATAAAAAGTGAAGTAAATAAATACATATAAAGATACCAGATTTTACTAGTTCTGAAAATAAATCCAGACTGTAGTTTTTCAAAGCTTTTTTTTAAAAAAGTTTCTTATGTTGTAGATTACAATTTGTTATAGAAACCTTCTTTTCTTTTCTTTTATCTAAATAGTATTATTTTTATCTAAATGGTATTATCACTTGGTAACCAATTAGCATATCAAAAGTGATCTATAGCAATCAATGAAGAAACCTACTGATATGCTTTAGAAATGTTATTTACATGGGGAGTATTATTTTTCCCAAGATAAAATTATTCTCTTCCTGAATATGCCTGTGTGTATTGTTAATGTAGCTAACTGCAACTGTCTTACCAACTTGCCAAAACTATGAGTAACATATTTTTTTTTCTGACAGTCACAAGGAAAAACAAAGTTTCTCTCACAAATCAATATCAGGTCCTGGTGCTCCAAGATTGATTTCTGAATGTCTTGTCGCTCTATATAGTTTAAACAACTGCATTTTACAAAGACAAATATTATGTTATAATTTCAAAAGATAGCCACCATGTTCATAGTATTAGCTTGTACTATCCAAACATATATCTAAGCTGATTGTGAATTTATTAAATATCCTAGAAAGGGACAACTTTTAAAGAAATGCAACTCTGTCTACCTTTTCAATATTACATGACAAATTTAAACGCTATTTATTTACTTATATGGACATAAATTCCATTTAACTCAAACCTTAGTTCTGAACACACATGTGCAAGACTGCACACCTAGAAAATACGCACCTCCCTGGAAATATTTATTGCAAAGCAAACACGTACAGTACCCAGGCTGCTAAATCACGGGATACTGCTAACCTGCAACTGCAAATGATCCATGACTAACCTCCTTTTTATTTTGTTTTATTGCAGTTTCCCCCCCCCCCCCTGCATATGACATTGCGGATTAAAATTTACTCAAGTTCTTCTACAAGTTTTCCGCATCTTAACTCATCGGAAAAGAATGCGCTCGATACGTTATCTATTAATCTGGGCGCCTGGCTTTTTAAAGGAATACGCTGCTTTAAAACCAGCCGATTGCTGCGGACACTAGATCCAGGGGAAAGAAACACATGAATAATTAATATATATATATATATATATATTCCCCTCGTTTCAATCTTCCAGGATACATATCCCAAGCTCCCTCTCCACCAACTTCTAGAATCTCAAGAACGGTCCCTCAGCGATGCTGTTTGGAACACTCGAAACTCCTTTCGCTTTTTTGCAAAGGTTGTGCAATCTCTCTCGCCTCCAAAACGGAGCCAAGTGTCAATGGACTCTTACAGGCGGGTGTATATGTGTGTGTGTGTCAGAAAAAGCCCAGCACCAACGAGGCTGCCCGCTCAGAAGTGACACTTCTTATGCCTCGAAACTTTTGCCGAGGGTTCCCCAATATATCACCCTGGCGCGCCTTGACACCGCGCTCGGAAAGGAAAGTCCCGTTCCCCCCCCCCCACGCCACCCCACCCCAAGGCGGCCAATTCAACCACCGCCTCTCCTTTTCGGGAAGGTACCTCTTCCTCTTGCAAGTTCGCCTCGCCCGGGCTGAGCTCTTGCTCGCTTTTGCCGCTGTTCATTGTCTCCGCCGCCGGCCCGAAATGCCCTCTTCGCCTCGCCTCGCCTCGCCTCGCCTCTCCTTTCCGCGGCGCGTCTAGGCTGAGGGGTCACAAACGGGCAGGCGCGACGAGGCGAGGCGAGGCGAGGCGCGGCGAGGGAGGGGGGAAAGCAGTGGGGCTCGCGCCCTGGCTACCACCAGCTGCCCTCAGCAGCATGCAGAGGGTTCTGGCGGAATGGCGGAGCCCGAGCGTGAGGCGGAGAGGGGCTGGCGGTTGCCGCTGCTGGTTCCCTCTGGAAGGAGGTGGGGAAGAGTCCCAAAGCGTTGCCTTTTGCGCGCCTTTGCTCTTAGTTGGCGGAGTGGGTGTCTCCCTTCGCCTGGCGCTGACTTCTTGGGACGACGCGGAGCGCGGAGGAGCGTGGATTTTTTCCCCCCTGTGAAAGCCCCCCACGGCCAGAGCACGTGAAGCGACCTCGAGGCTGGAGATTTGGCAAAGCAAAGAGGGAGGAGGAGGAAGAGGAGGAGGCGCTTCGAAGGGTGATAACTTTGGAAGCCTCCTGCCTTTGCTGAAGGCTGAGTAGCCTGTCAGCTGTCCTGGCTTCTCCCACCAAGCCTGCCTGCTTCTCTGAGGGGCCCTTTCAGGCTTCAGCCTTTTGGAAACAGGGGAACAAATTTTGATTGGACGCCACGATGGCATACAGGTAGTCCTTGACATACAAAATCACAACTGAGCCTAAAATTTCTGTTGCCTTCTGTTGTTAAGTGAGTTTGACCCCCCTCTCCTCCATTTTACCATCTATCTTTCTTGTCACAGGGGGTTAAGCTGCCAATGGTTAGGTAACACAGTTCTTAAGTAAATCTGTCTTCCCCATCAACTTTGCGGGTCAGAAGGTCACCAAAGGGGGATACCTCACCCCGGGATAACTGCCACCGTCATAAATATGAGTCAGCTGCCAAGCATCAGAATTTTGATCGTGTGACCATGGAGAGGTCGCAGTGGTCTTAAGTGTGAAAAACGGTCATAGGTCACTTTTTTTTCTGCCGTTGTTACTTCAAATGGTCACTAAATGAACTGTTGTAAGTTGAGGACCACCTGTACTCTCACAAAACGGCTGCCTTGGGAGCATGGCCAGTCACAAAACTCCTGCTTCTTGAGGGTCGAACGTGTGACGTTGTTCCCGCTACCCACTCAAGGCTGTTTCCTTCCTGCACTGCTTGCTGTCACCCGGATTACCTCCGTCAACGCTCTTGCAGGTGGACACATTTCTAAACAAAACTGCAGCTGTCCACCCTTTTTAATTTCCAGGAAGGCCTCTGGTGTTTATTTTATAATTCATTTTTATCAAGGCGGTGCTAGAGCTTTGGTTTTGCTGCATGGCAACTCCCAACTTTTTTTCCTTTTTTCAATAAGGTGAACAGAGAACCTAATAGATGACAAGAAAAGTGGCCTAGGTGTCTTCCCTTTTTGCCTCAGTTTATGCTGCCAAAGTAAATCAATCTCATGTAAGACACCACATATTTGTATATATAGTCAGTATTTTTTTCCGCAAAGGAAAAAGCAGTCCTATCAGCAGGAAAATCATGCCTTGCTTAGAAGTCCCACTTAACATTTGACATGCATACAATGTTGCATTGTTCCTTTTAGTTTCAAAGTGAACTGAATTTGAGAAACATCTAGCAGGAGTTAAAAAGAGTTCAATCCTGAACACTTCCTGCCTTGCTTTTAAAAAATTAGTACAGGTGGTCCTGATTTAACAACCGCCTCATATAGCGACCGTTTTCATCACAATTATGACAGTGATGAAAAAGTAGCTTTGTATTGTGATCAATTCTTGCATTTATGATCTTTGCAGGCCTATAAAGCAAAGGAAAACTGAAGTAAAATCATAACTGCTTAGTAACTGCTTCACTTTACAATTGAGTTGCTAGTCCCAATTATGGCCACTGTACGAGGACTACCTATAGGTCTTTTAAAAAAGAATTTACCGATTCACATGTCTTTCAATCAGTAGTATTTAGGATTGTTCTTCAAGTGACATTGATGAATTTTATACTTTTTCTTAGTGATAAATTAGAACCAATTCTAAAGCTATCATTAATAAAAGAGAAGCTACAGTAATTATTTCCAAAATATGTCTCAGAACATGCTAACTTGGTTCAAGTAGTACATTTAGGCATGAACCTAGAATGTCTCCCCACAAGAAAGATTATCCACTGCAGCTCTATACAATTCATGACCCTGCCTTCTAATCAGTTTCTGGGCAATATCACATCAAACATTATGAATAATTCAAAACTTCGGCAATGTAGGCATGTAGAACAATTATTCATCCTCAGACATGATCTCCTTTTTGGCTGTTCCTGAGAATAATTTATTTGGGCATGCCTTTATCCAATCAGTGGATATATCCAGATCAGGAACTTACAGAGAAACATAGGTGGGAGATGCCCTTGAGAAAGAGTAAATCATAATCTATACATATTCAAATATACTGTATATTCCTCTCTCTGAACAAGAGTAAAGTATAACTCCAATTCAGAAAAAATCTGAATAAGATGTGATGTTTAGAAAACAATGATGTAATTATGTTGGTTAGGTTAAGTTCATGACTTCCTGTTATTTTTAATTATAATTTCTAAACATTCCAATAAATAAAATGATACACTTTGCTTAAATCTTTTGCTCTAGTAGACTTCACACTGAGGTTTATTAATGTGATGCCTGTCTTTCCATCACTAAAAATAAAACTAGATGATCAGAAAGGATATGTAATGATTCTTCATTTCTCTGGGACTCTTTCATGCGTTGATAGGAAAGAACACACAGCTCCTTTGAAATCCTTGCAGTTTGTAAATTCAGTGTGTGTGTGTGAAAGAAAGCTGCATCTTAATATCTTCAGCTGCCTTATGGGGGGGGAGGCAGGGAGGGAGGGAGAGGAGGAATGCACATTCAAAATGTAAATTGGAATACCTATTTTAAATGCAGACACTTCAGCTTCACAATATTTTACTTTGGATCAAAAGAGTGTTTAAAATAGGCTCTTTTAAGACTTAAAAGAGACCTAGGAGGTGTGACATTGGACTCCACAACTGGAAATTTGACTGTTCTTTACTAAAAGCCACCATGAAGGAAGTGGAAATTTCAGAACAATTTTCTATGTAGAGGAAGATTTTAGCCCTTTTCCCCTCCAAACCCCCCTCTCCCTTCATTTGTCCCACATGTTGAAATATGTGCATACATATATGTTTTTTTCCAATCATGGTTATTATGAAAATGATGTAGGCAGGTGGAAGAATTTAAACCAGCTCCAGTTTTGAACTCACCATGGCTGTTTTGTTTTTGCAAAACAGGTGACCTACATCACATTTTCTGCCTAGATATATATCTTCCCTGTATATACACACACAGAAAAATACTGGCTAAATTTTAGTCCATATTCCTCATTCAAGTGTGATGCATCAGAAGCCAGATAAGCCGTTCTGTTGTCCTTATGTGAGAGGCATTTATTTGTACACTCCAGAATTCTAGAAATTAGGAGGAAGGAAGTCAATGAAAGTTCCCTCAAGATTCCTTGGCCATGATACAAAAGTGGCATTTCAAGCAAGATATCACATGCTTAGTAGTCGTCTCAAGATTGCTAAAAGTACTGGAGATCTTCAAATAAATCAGATCCATATACAGTAAAAATGAATGGCAAATCACTGCACATGTCAAACAGTACTGCAAGGAAAAGAATGGGAGATACTAACCAGCACTGAATGGTAATCCAGGATCCAATGCTTTAATGACTTTTTTTAAAAAAAGAACAATAACAGGATCAGAAAAGAGTCAAGGGAGAACATTGATAAGACTGGCACTTCCTGGTCATCCACTTCAGCAGTTTATAAGGATTCTGCCAGAGATTTTTTCCTGTTCTTTTCAGGATCTACAGTTCTTTTGTTGATCAAATATCTAGAAATGTAAGGAACAAGTGCCCAACTCTTGGACTGTAATGCCAAACAGCCTGATCAAGACAAGGGCATCTGATTCTATAATAACTGGGGGGCAATTCCTGTGAATATAGATAGAACTTTCCTTTTCAGAGATGGAGAATGCCATGCTGGGAAGGCTTCAGCAGTCTGATGGAGTAGACCATATAAGGAAGTCAACAGTGAGCCTAGTTTTTCTTAATAGCTGAAAGACAATTTCTTGTAATGTGGTTCCATTTTTTGCTTGGGTATTGCCAATATTTATATAATTGCCAAACACTTGTCTAGTAAGTTATAGTATTTACAGTTATAGAATTGGTATGTTTCCCAGGCTCTGTCTGAATAAATGTCATTACAGTCTATTTTCTCTGTCCCTCTCACATAGCTGAACTTGATTAGGTGCTAGTGGCATGCCATGTTCAGGTCTCCCACAATCATTGCCTCATTAAAGAACAAAGAAAAGTCCAAAACTATGTGCAATATGGGGGGGGGGTTGTAGCAGCGTGCTTAATGCGGCTATGAATTCCATGTTTTATGCATGTTTTGATACATCTCCAAACAAAGAAATAGTTTAAAGCCACAAATGATATATCAGCTAACAACAAGATGTAAAACATCAATAAAAACTATACTAGGTAATACATCTATAGTAGATAAGATAACTTCCTTGATAATTAATGCTCTAGTCTAGTCTAAGAAATAGACAGGGGATTCAACATGTACTTTTCCTGGCAATGTTTGTTTACTGAGATAACATTTATTCTTGCAGGAGGCAATAGCTGGTATCCTTCCGGATTAATTGTCTTGTGTCATTCTTTTCTGGAGAGCCTGAATCTGAAAAAAATGATGCCAGGAAACTATTGCTTAGCCTCAATATATCTATTCTATGAAGTTGTTGCAGGATCCCATTTTATTTCTCATTTACATCTTCTTCAAGTAAAGTTAATATTAAAACCACAAAAGTTATCTTAATTTTTCTTAATATAAATAAGAGAATATTGAAGAAAAAAAATCAATGCATATATGTTGATTCTATGAAAACGACAAATTCTTGGGTTAACTGGGAAGGAACTGAAAAGAATAATGTCAATTTCATCATATAGTACCTTATATGGTATGGCCATACTTGGAATGCTATATTAAATCTGGTAATCACATTTTAGAAAATACACAATAAAGTTTGAAAAATGCAGAAATGGGGATCTAAAAATTATTGAGGGACTGATAGAACAATTTCCCTGCCCATATAGAAAAGCTGAGAGCCAGTTTGGTGTAGTAGTTAAGACACCAGGCCAGAAACTGGGAGTTCTATTCTTGCCTTGGCATGGAGCCAACTGATTGACTTTGAGCCAGTCACTCTCTCTCAGCCCTAGGAAGGTTGTCTACTTATGAAAAACTTTGCTGAGCAAACTGCGGGAACTCGTTCAGCAGTCTCTGACAATTAGACACGACTTCATGGAAGAAAAAAAACAGAAAAGCTTTGAAGCCTTTTTAGTGTAGTATGGAAGGCAACATAATATTAACTTCCAGTATCATATAATTCACTTCAATGGTGAACATTTGAGATAAGCAAAAATAATGGTTTCTTCTTGCGGCATATATTGAATTCACTATTACAAAATGTAATTG